ATTACTAGCTATAACAGGAAAATAACCTAAGAATACCTCTAATATACCAAGAAGAAATAAATCTCCACAAGTAATCTCACCAATATTCCACTTTGTTATTTAACAATGAAACAGTCCCTCCACCCAATAACAGATCTGCTCTATTTTTCTACTTTTTAGACCATTTTTTGGGGCACTTCCATACTGTAGATAACAGTGCTGTAACATGTAACAATTCAGTAAAGCCTATTTTCCTATCATATATTTAATCACACCATTTGTAGTTTACTGTGATTACTCTGGAAGAGGCAAAAGAAGGTGAAATTGTCTCTTTATTCACAAAGCAAAAATTGGGGCTGGGGAAGATAGCTCAGTAGAATAAGCGCTTGCCTGGCAAGCGCAAGAGCCTGAGTTCAATCCCCAGTTCCACCAAAAACACAAAACAAAAATAGAAGAATTTGATCTTTGACTTTCCTGTCCAAGTTCTGGTTTTGAAAATTATACTAGGGGCTGGGGAGATGGCTCAGTAGAATAAGTGCTTCCCTGCAAGCGCAAGGGTCTGAGTTCAATCCCCGGTTCCGCAAAAAAAAAAAAATTAAAAAAAAAAGAAAAAAAATTATTCTGTCAGTTTTCCAAGTCAAACAACATATTTATTCTGTAAATGTCTACTATATAACTAAACTATTATAGTCAGTTGGAAAGTTTTGTAAATTATGAATGAACAAGGTGATCAGGTTATTATGAAACAGCAAGAGGAAGCACAGTAAGTTCTACAACCCATAGGCTAGGAAAATAGCTCAAAATAATTTACACCAGGGTATAAACTAACAAGATGTGACAGGCAAGACTACATGTGGAAAAAATTCAAAAACTACCCATACTTGATATTAAAACAAAGCATTTGGGAAAAGCTCAGTTTTAAAGGGTAACAGTTCTATCACCTAAAAACAGTAAGACTGGATAACTAAAAAAAGAATTTGAAAATATTTTGAAATTTATTTTTATTGCAAAAGCAACCAGTGGTTTGAAACCAGAACATCAGCTCTATAGTTTGCTCCATCAAAACTGTTCCGACTTAATTACATCTTTAATCACAAACCACAACTTTGAAATTTATATCATAATCAAAACTATACCTTTACTATATTTTTTTGAGATCAGGGTAAGTGGATTTAAGTTTTTTTAAGGGCAACTGCACCACTGCGTGTAAATTTATCAGGTTGATTCAATAAAGTGAAATCAGGCCACCCAGTGGTTAACATGATGTACTACATACATGAATTTTTTTTCCAAATCTAGACTGTGTAAATTAGTGTAATTCAGTCAAATACATTCAATTTCACATACTTTTTGGCCATTATTGATAGCAATACCCAAACACTGAAGAGAGTACTCCCCAGCTATGCATGAAAAAAACAAAGTGAGAACGTTTCTTTTGGTTTCTTTAGAGTGTGTATATTTTTAAATGAGGAAAAGATTAGAAAAGTCCCTCAAAAAAGGATATACAGTAAAGCTAGAAGACACAACATGAAAGTCATAACATACACAAAATTCAAACCTCTATACTGAACATAAAATAATGAAAAATTCAAACATCTATATTAACTCATAAAGTTTGAGCAGTTTATCTGCTTTCCCAAAATATTGCTAGCTAACAGTTAAACTCTTTTTCTCATATTTCAGTATACTTTCACTTCTCTCCATTTTGCCAGAAATAACTGAGTAAAAGTATTATACATACACACTGCCTCTCATACACATCACTCAAAATTCTCTTTTTTACTTTCTTTTACTTTTCTAAAGTAAAAGCTGATTTTTTTTTTTTCACTTTAGTGTTTGGTTATGTGCAAATACCTCAATCTTCTTACTGATAACAGTCTGTACAGTTTGTAAGCAATTTTTTTTAAATTTATGTTTAAGAGCAGAACTAGAATTTAAACATAAATTTTTTTAAATTTATGTTTAAGGGCAAATCATCTTTACAAACTAAGATGATTTATACAAGAATATGACTTAAACAAATACATGTAAATAAGAGAATGACAATTTTAGTATTGCCTGTAACTGTCATTAAAACCCTGAATGTGATCTACATCTCTTTTATGTCCCAATACTAAATAAACCCTTTCCTTTATGTACATTTCAATGACATTCTTTTTTTTTAAGTAACGGGGATTGAACTCAGGACCCTGTGCTTGCCAGGTAGGCGCTTATTCTACTGAGCTATCTCCTGGCCCTTAATGATAGATTCTATAGCTTCCAAATAATCAAAAGAACAAATATATTTCAGTTGTTTTACATGAGGTAACAGTTTTCTACCCTTAGGTATTTTTTTTTTTCAGATTACACAGAAAAAGTGAGTAACAGGATTTACACCTATACTCTATGCAAAACTTTTATACAGCAAAATGTAATTTTCATTCAAACTCTTAAATGGTTATAAATTGATAATTTTGAAGTATACCTTGATATGACTCAATTATTTTTCTACTATAAACTGGGCTCATATATATAGTCAAAATATAAAACTTTTCCCAGTAAATATATTATTTCTCCTTCAACACAATAATTCATTATCTAAGATATGCAAGACATATTTTCATACACAATAAATATAATTAAAGCATGCAACTCACTGAAGTATGAAGGCCCTAAGAAACACACCACTCAGAGATAACTTCTCACATCCTCTACTTGTTTATTCCCGGAGGGGAATTGTAGTTTCACTCCACCATACTTATTCTTTTTGGGTTTTTTTCTTTTTTCTTCTTTTTGTTGGTACTGGGGATCAAACTCAGGACCTTGCACTTGCCAGACAAGGACTTATTCCACTGAGCTATCTCCTCGGCCTAAAGATCTGATTCTTTTCTTTTTCCACCACAATTATTTCACTCTTCTTTACTTTTCTACCTCATTCTATAATGTTTCAATTAACTCACTACTGACAAGGAGTAAATACAATTAAAGTTTAAATATCAAGTTCAAAGTATTGTCAATAAAAGAAGATAAATGTATACAGTGATAATAGTCTACTACTGTGAAACACAGCATGTAGTGAAAAGAAAACCAACTGGGGACACCAGGGTTATGATAGCTAAACATCCTGTAACTTTAATGCTTGATGACAGAATTAGCCAAGAATCTGATTCAAATAAGGTTAACATCTAAATATGTAATGCCACAAATTATATATAAACCAAATTCTGTTGACTTGATTCACTTGCTGCTTTGCATAGTTATTTTTATTTATTTATTTATTTTTTGACTCAAAAATTCAAAGGAGGGGCCAGGGCAATAGCTCAGTAGAATAAATGCTTGCCCGGCAAGCTTAAGGGCCTGAGTTCAATCCTGGGTTTCACCAAAACCAAACAAAAACAAAATCAAAGCTTCAGCAATTGTAATTGCAGGAGGTTTTAATTTGTATCATTTCTAGAAACAGAGAGGTTAACTGGATCCTTGAGTTTTTAGACAAGCATTTATCTGGGTGATTCTGTGCCCCACTCCAAAGACATTTATCAATGTCCAGAGAAAATTTTGACAGTCATAGCTGTGAGAAGCGGGGTGCTGCTATCTTCTACTGAGCCAAGGATGCTACTAAACATCCTCCCACTTTAAAAAAAAAAAAAAAAAACAAATTTGATCCAAAACATCATTAGTGCCAAGTATGAAAATCATACTGTAGACAGAATAGGAATGAATGGGAGTGTGTGTGTGTGTACATTTGTTCCACAAGTATTTGTTCTACCCTGAAGTTGCTATAATTAGGTAACTATAACTTTTTTTTTTAATTTGATACAGTGTATCCCCACGCTGCTCCAACTCACAGTGATCCTCTTGTATCAGCCTCCCCAGCACTGGGATTACAGCGTGTGCCATCACACCTGGTTCTGGGTTGGCACAGTACATCCTGGGTTCCAGGGCCTGTACAGCATGCAGTATCAGGATTCGAACTCGGGTCCTTGAGTTTGCCAGGCAGGTTCTTGGACCACAGAGCTATCTCCCCAGCCCAAGTATAACTATTATTACTTTATGCTGATTTCTGCAGAACCATTTTACACTCAGCAGAAACTCAGAGCAAAGGATATTATAACTGTCAATTTTTAAACAAAATACACAATAAATGACTCCCTGTACCAAGGAACTACAGCTCTAGATAAGACTTTGAAGTTGATGGTCTACATAAATAAAAAACTGGAAATTCTGTCAAACACCTATGTTTAATACTGAAAATTAAAACAAACCATTGATTCGTATCACCTGAATACTCCATGTAATTTAGCAGTAACTACTGCAATGACATACATAAAAATTAAATGCATAAATTCGTCCTATTGTATTTTGCAAGAAAAATGTGTCCCACCTTTGTGCAACACTTAGATACACTCAGAGCCAAACTTGGTTGCTCAAAATGTTCAGTAAACAGAACACATTATTTTTAATATCAGTCTACTGGAGGTAACTGTGTGACAGCTTCCCACTCTTAAGAGATTAAGAATATATACACAAAGCTGAGGATAGGGTAATTACAAAATGAAAAAGGTTGTTTTTCAACTACTACTCATGATTTTCCATAGCTTTTGAAGACACGGAGAGTTGGCAGAAGGGTGCCCGCCCACATTTGTCCCGGAGTTCCTGTTTTGACTGGCACGGTTAGTTCAGAAGAGAAAAATCCCATTTTTCAAGTCATCTAGGGAGGACACAACCACTTTTGGCTGGGTAGCGTTGTCCCTAAAGGCGCAAAGACTTATCTGGCAAGAAGCAGCCAAAAGAGATTTTGGAGTCTGGTCTTTCGCGGCGGGGATAATCAACCAGAACAACCCGAGCATTTATTTATCTTCCAGGGTCTTCCCCTCGCTGGTCCCCACCTCTCCACACTTCGGGGCTGAGCTCCGGCTAGCGGGCCAAGCCGCACCGCGGCGGAAAACCTCTGCCCCGAGTGGGGCGGACCTGGGGAACCGCGGGGAAAGAGAATCGGAGCCGAGACAGGGCAGACAGGCCTGGGCCAAAGGGACGTCACCCACCTGCGCGACCTCTTCGCCATCCTTCAAGTACCGCATAGGCGCGGGCTGCGCGGGGACGCGGGGCAGCCTCCTCCAGCCCCAGGCGGGTGCGCCTTCTCCCCCACGCTCCCGCCGCTTCCCTCGATCCCGTCCCGAGGCAGCAGAGAGCGGAGTGCGGGTCCCGGCAGGGCAGCAGGGATGGACGAGCAGCGGAGCGCGACCCGCCCCCGGCCAGCGCCGCTCCTAGCCCCGGCCCGGCGGGTTCAGGGACGAGCCCGACATGCGGGGAGGCGCGCTCCAACCCTCCGCCGGCCCCTCGGCCTCCACGCTGCAGCCCCGGCACGGCCCCGCCCTGTCCCGCAGCGGGCAGCCCGCAGCACTCGCAACCTCCCGCAGGGTTTTGTCCGCACCACCGAATCTCGCGCCCAGCCTCCCTCAAGAGTCGCCGTTTGAATCTGCGCACGCGGCTCTGAACCTCATTGGCTCGGACGGCTGCACGCGGGAGGTAGCGGGGGAGAGCGGAGGGGGAGCGCGCGCGGGGGCGGGGCGGGGGGCTGGAAGCCGACCTGGCGCTCGCGGGAGAAGGCGCAGGAAGCCGCAGCGGGGCAGGACCCGGGCGGGGCTCGCGGGCCGAACGGCGCTGGACCCGGAACGCGGGAGGCCCGCGGGGGGCGGGGCGCCGGGCCGCGCGGGGCTTGCCGGGAAGGCGAGTTTCGGCGCTCGCGGAGGACGGGCGGGGAGGCGCGGGCCGGAGGGTCCCGCCGCCCCAGGCCTCCTGGGGCTCCCGGCCGGAACTCCGGACTGGACCTTTCTGCGGCCTGGCAGTGCACGCCTCGAACGTCCTCCTTGCCGCTGCTCCTCGCTCCTTGGGTGTATACTCCTTCAACGTAGAGAGACACGGTCTCTGCATTCGTAATCCACATAAAGTTCGCTTAAACTGTTTAAGCAAAACTGTCATCTGTTCCAACCCAGACGTCATAGCTACTAAAGTGGCGAAGACCCTGCAGTAATATGACTTATGTCTCTTAAGAATGAAGTTTCACCAGTGAAAAACATTTTTAGCTCGAGGCCTGCTTGCGGCGGAAAAAGAAAATAATCCTTCCGAGGCTGGTCCTCTAGATTCTTAATCTTGTCCTGCCCATTGCGGGAAATAACCGAGGCGCACGGTGGAGCCTCCGCCTGGAGAACTGTGCTGGAGGAGAGCCTTGGACTGGAAATTTCTCCCAGATGAGTGAAAGCGATAATCCACCACAGAAGGTGACGCCTTGCACGAGAAGAGAAAGGGATCCTGCACCAGAGAACTTGTAGCATTTACAACTCCTAGGGATTCCAAATGTAGTAATAAATAACTGCTTAGTTCCAGTGGAATCAAAATAGATTAACTAGGATAAAACTTATTTTTTGTTTGCTTGTCTTATAAGTAAATTCTACTGGTACATTTTAGATGTACATAATAACATTCATCATAGGCAATTTATACCTGCACATTATATATCTTGATTTTTTTTCCCATATCCATCCCCTCCCTTCAACGCTTCTTCCCAAAGTAACATTTAGACATGGTTAAGAATCCAGATTTGCAAGGCAACATGCTCTGCTGCATAGAACACTAAACCACATGTTAATATGGTAACAAACTGACATTTTGCTATTTTGAAATTTATGCCTCATCCTTTGCAAATCAGAGGTGCAGGTGCAAATATGGATTGAAAGCTTGCATGCTTTACTGACAAACACTTTTTCCCCTTTTTATAGTTCCTTTTTCTCAAAGAATATATTCTGGGAAGATAAAGGAGTATTCACTAACATTTTCTTATTTACTGTTAAATCATACATTACTCCACTTTGATTCTAACAGGAAACAGCTGCTATATTTTAGGCTATCATCAGTTTTATACAGAACACCTTTTTAGTGCCAGCCAAATAGCTCAGCTGATTAAAGCGCCTGCAAGCAGGTGCAGGGGCCTGGGGTTTGATGCCCCAGTCTGCCAGCCTGCTTTGATAGCAATTGAGACTGGGTGTGGTGGCACGCACCGTAATCCCAGTTATTGGGAGATCACTATGAGTCTGATCTAGTAGTGAGACCCTGAACACCCTGTAGACCCTTCCCTAAAATAAAAATAAAAAAAAACTTTTTAGAGATTGAAAGCAGATGTTTTAGATTTTAAAATGCCCTTCATTTTATGCATAAAAGACAAATTTCTCAGCTAATATTGTAAAATTATAAAACTCAAAATGTTAAAGTGGTTCATAGTCATTAGAATACACATACTCAAATATATTGGTAACTAAAACTTGGAGATTTTCTTTAAAGCAAAACATATTTAGAAGTTTTATTTAATGTATATTAAAAAAAAATCCTCAAAACGCAATCATGAGAAAAGAGAAGCAATTAAAACATAGGTGTGAGCTGGCAAGATAGCTCAGCGCTCTAAAGCACTTGCTTAGGTCAAGCTTTGGCAGGGACCATGGTTCAATCCCTGGCACCACATGCTGCGCCAGCCCCACCCCCAGGGCAGGCTGAGCCAGCCACAAAAAAAAAAAAAAAAAAGATAGGCAAGTAACATATGGAAACCACTGCATTTCTATTACAATAAGGGGGTGAAAAGTGGTGATACAATATAACTTTCATAAAATGCAAGAACTCAAGAGTTTCTGGCGCTTTTTTTAAAATCATTTATTTATTTGGTACAGGGTCTCAGTATGCAGCTTGGACTCGTGGTGATCCTCCTTTCTCAGCCTTCCCAGCGCTGGGTTTACAGGCATGTGCCACCCAGTCTCAATCACCATCTCAGCGCGCTCCTGGGGTGGGGGGCATGACACACTGGGGATAGAATCTAGGTCCCTGCATCTGCCTAAGCAGGCACTTTAATTTGCTGAACTATCTGGCTAGCACTTTTTTCTTTTATCTTTTTTATCTTTTATTTATTTAGTACAGTGACGCCTCGTTTTGGTGGCCAGCACTGCGTGGTTGGGGTTCCAAGGCCATCACAGTATGCATACTGGGGATCAAACCCAAGTCCTTATTCTTGCCAGGCAGGTGCTTAAGCCACCAAGCTATCTCTCCAGTCTGTGTTGTTATTGTTTTTTGGTTTGTTTGTTTGTTTTCCAGTACAGGGATTGAACCCAGGGCCTTTGCCCTGAGCTACACCCAGTCCGTTTTATTTTATATCTATGTATGTATGTATGTATGTATGTATGTGTCTGTTTATCTATCTGTCAAAACAGGATCTGGCTGTGCAATTCAGGCTGGGCTTGAAGTCACTATGTAGCCCAGGTAGGCTTCAAACTCTTTGCAGTTCCCCTGCCTCAGCCTCCCAAGTGCTGAGATTACAGACATGTGTAACCACATTCAGTTTCAGGAACTCTTGAAAATGTTTATAGTGGCCTTATCTGTAATTACCAAAATCTTAAAAAGAACATGGAGCACTCTTCTTCCCTTTTACTTTTCAACTATAGTACCTTACAATTGGTATTCACTAGTCTCTTGGTGCTTTGTAAGATTTTACACTGATGGGTCGACCAGATAGCTCAGCGGAGTAAAGTGCCTGCTTAGGCAGAGCTCAGCCACCAGATCTTGTAGCACCAACCCTGCCCTGAGGGTATGCTGAGACAGCAACTGAGACTGGGCATGGTGACACATGCCTGTAATCCCAGTGTTTGGGAGGCTGAAAACAGGAGGATCACTATGAGTCTGATCTGTGAAGTGAGATGCTGTAGACCCTGTACTAAATACATTTTTTAAAAAAAGAGAGAAAGAGAAAAATAAAAAGAAAGGAAGGAAGAAAAAGAAAGAAAGAAAGAAAGAAAGAAAGAAAGAAAGAAAGAAAGAAAGAGAAAGAAAGAAAGAAAGAAAGAAAGAAAGAAAGAAAGAAAGAAAGAAAGAAAGAAAGAAAGAAGAAAAGATACATCCTAATCCATCTTTCTCACCAGATCTGGCTCCATGGACTTCTGGCTCTTCCTCCAGGTCAAATAATTATAAAAAGTAAATGTTTTGAATAGATTCCGGACATCGAGGAACCCCTGACAATGGAACTAAAGATTCTTACAAAAGAGGACCTCAAGTTCTGCTTCAGAAAGAAAGTGGCAGGAATGACGTAAGTGAGTTCAAAGGGAAACGGGAAATGGAGTGTGTTGAGGGAATCAATGGCAATGTGTCTTTTACTGTAATAAAAATTTTAAATTTAAAACTAATTGTAATTTTTGAACACACATCATAGCTTGGATCTAGCCACTCACCCAAGCCCATGTGTTTAAAGGCTTGGTCCCCATAGAGGCAATTTTGAGAGGTAGCCGTAAGGGAAAGTCTTTATGTCCTTGGATCATATACCTAAAGGAGACCATGAGACTGCAGTCCCTTCCCATCTTTCTCTGTAGCCTATGATGTAAGTGATCTTTCCTAGCCAAGTACTCCTACCATGAGGTGCTGCGTCACCACAGCCCAAAACAACATGGTCAACCTGTCATGAACTGGAACATCTAAACCTCTCCTTGTAAGGTGATTATCTCAGTTATTTTGTAAAGTTAACAATATACAAAGCTTACCCCAAGCTAGATGCAGTGGTACATGCCATAATCCCAGCTACTGGGGAGGTTGAGGTAGGATGATTACAAGTTTAAGGCCATCCTGGGAAGCTTAGTAAAATGTTATCACCAAAAAGAGAAAAAAAAATTCTACAAAAAAAAAAAGGCCTATGGATGGAGCTTGGTGCAAGGTTTGGACTCAATTCCTAACACCACACACACGATGCTGTGGAAAAAATGATGAAACATTATGTATTCAATTTGAAAACAGAACTCAAATTTAGAATTTATATCTTAGATACACAAATGTTTGCTTCAACATCTCTTCCCTTCCACCAGTATTTTTGTTATTCTCCACTGTACATTTAGGGTACTATTTTAAGTTTAATGGAGATTATAAATAGAAGTCACCCTGCCTAATATAAGCAGGTTCATGTTCTTGTGCCACTGAGCTACATCCCTAGCTCAGATAAATATTCTTAGTTTAGTTTTGAAACTTTAAAATAAGAGCTGTTGAACTATACGAAAAGAGTTCCAAGAGAAAAATATTTTAAAGTGTTCCTGTTTCAACCCATTGCTCCTTGCCCTACTCTTTTGTAGCAGATAGAATCCATGTTCTCCAAAGACATGTTGTCTATGTCCAAATTCTCAGGAGCTACAAATATATTACCTTCCATAGCAAAAAGGATTTTGCAGATGTCATTAAAATAAGGATCCTGACATGGAGAGAGTGACCTGGGTTAGCCAAGTGGGCTCAGTATAATCTCAAGGGTACTTGTGTAATAGAAGAGGCAAGCAGGAGGTTTAGATATTTGAAGAAGCTACACCAATAGTTTTGAAAATAGAGGAAAGGGCCATGAGTTAAGGGATGAGGCAGCCTCTAGGGACCAGAAAAAGAAAGAAAACAGTCTCCTCTACAGC